ATTTGTCCCAATGTATATTCAATGATTATGTCAATGTTTTGCCTATAGTTGATGTTCTGTAAATATTCATGGAATAAAGGAGCCTAAAATTAAAACAAACAAACAAAAAGCCCGAAAGCATCCTCCATTTTGCAAGCTTTAACTATGAATCAACTTACTAGAGTTGATGTACTTATAACAGAATTACAGGCCTGCCATTCTTGATATTTTTTACAATACTTTAGGCTTGAGTTGATCAGTTGCTTCCTTTTTTAAAACAGCAGTTCAAATCTGACAAAATGAGCTATGCATTTTTTAAACAAGTGAGTTTTGCACTTTGTGAGTTCTCAAATCACTCAGTTACATTTTTAAAATATACTATTTTTAAAACTGCTAAAAAACAAACATCAACATGTTACGCAGCAAATTTTGGGTATACTGCAAACCATCACATTATCTCATAGTTGGAGGTTAAATCATTTATGCGCAGAAGTCTGCAAAATAAACTCTTCCACCATTTAGCCTGAATAGTGTATTTTGAAACTGAACTGCTATTTTAAAAAAACATACAGAGCCTTCTGCCTCAGGATGTAAAAACATGGAAAAAGTATTGATTTTACCTTTTGCAGCATAAGAACAAAACTAACTTCAAATTTCAGGGTCTGTGCAAAACCGTACAGGACCTGAGGTTGTAGAGAAAATAAACGGCCCCAAAACTCCTCTGCAGGAGAGTTGACAGAAGCCCACTTGGGGTAGTTCACCTAGAATAGTGGACAAAGTGGTGACAGCAGAGTGCAAAATAGCAGAACATCGTGAAATCCCTGGGGCTGAAGTCACTGTGCAGGAGTCCACATCCTCTTACAGGGTTGTTTTATATGAACTCCATCTGGCACTAACAGATAAGATCAAATAGAACCTTAAGGGTGCAGACCTTGGGGAGAACAGCAACCATGCACAAGGGGCAGAAACTCCACCAAAATCTTTCTCTTCTATCTATACCTCACAATAATTACTTAAAAAACAAATTACTAAACTCACTGAAGAAATGGTCCTATATATAAACAATTGTATTTTAAACTAAAAAAAAAAGAAAATCCAGTCCCAATGCTTTCACTGGCAAATTCTAATTCTATGCTACATCTCTGAGAAAATAAAAGAAACCCTTCTCAATACATATTGAGTATTACAAGGCTAGCATTACCCTAAAACCAAAATCAAAGACAAAAGACTAAAAACAGGCCAATACTCCTCATAAACACCAATGTAAAATTCATCCACAGAATCTAAAAAACCTGAATGCAGCAATATACAAGGTCTGACCATTAAGTTCATGAACTCAGCATAGAAAAAGTGCTATATACCTCAGTGCTGAATCATCACTGCAGTCAACTTTGAAGTATTCCCCTTGGGAAGCTATGCACTGATGCCAGCACCTAGTCTACCCTTCAAAGAAATTTTAGAACTCTTTTTCTGAAATGATAATCAAAGATGTCACACAAAGTATATCAATTAAGTCCACAAACTTGCCACTGTGCACTTACATTGCCAACACTATAGGAACAACTCAGTAAGGTTTCATAACCTTGTATCAGTGTCTCACAGCTGTGTTCATGTTGACATGTGGTGGCATTTTGCGGAGTGGTGCTTATTCTTGTTTTTTTGGTGTGTAATATGATGAAAGCTCTGATAGTCATCCCAGAAAGTTCCAAAATTGCTTTGAAAAGAGAATGAGGCACTGGCATTGATGTATAGCTTCCCAAAGGGAGTACTTTGAAGGTTAATATAGTGATATTCAACAATGAGATATATAGCACTTTATCTAGGAAGAGTTCACAAAATTGTTAAAACTTGTATAACAATCAAGATGAGGTTCATCAAAGATGTGCAAGGCTATCTCAATAATTGATGCAATTTACCAAATTAACAGACTAAATTTTAAAAAATGTATCATTCTAATAGATATAGAAAAAGAATTTGAAAAATTCAATATTCATGATAAAAACTCTCAGCAAATTAAGAGCTTGACAAGAGCTGCCCTAACCTAAGAAAGGGAATCTATGAAAATCTATAGCTAAAATCCTATTTAACAATGAGAAATTGAGTTTTTCAAAGATCAAAAACAAGGTAAAATGTCCTCTGTCAACACTGCTATTCAACACTATACTGAAATTTGACCTAGATAATTTAAAGAGGCAAGAAAAAATAGACTAGAAAGAAGTAGAACTGTATATTTTTAGGTTACATAATTGTCTAGGTGAAAGTCTAAAAGAATTTATAATGAACTACTAGAATTAAAAATAACTTTAGTGAGGTTGAAAGATACAAGGTCAGTATAGAAAAGTCAACTGTATGTGGTCACTATGAAAGTTTTGAGACAGATTGTGTTATGGTCCATTATTTCACTTCAAAGAAATAGTTGACAGTACTCTTTCTCATTCACCCATGGAAGTTTGAACCTGTTTGGCTTATTGGTGGTGCCAGAAAGGTTTCATATGTTTCCATTCACGCAGATTTTATGTTTCCTGAATTTTGTGTAACTTGAAACTTTTGCACTGACCTATGCATTCCTATACATAAGGAATAATTACAATTTGAATTAAAACAAACCATAATAGCACCTCAAAATCCCTAACAAAATATGTGCAAGATTTAAAAAAAATGAGAGAAAATTATTATAAATTTGAAGACTCAATATTGTTAAAATGTGAATTCTTTTTGATGTACTTCCCATCAGAATACCAGCAAGCTAATCCTAAAATATGGAAGAGCAAAGAAATTAGAATAGCCAAAACAATTATTTAAAAGAACAAAGTTGGAAAGCTCATGTTATCCAACTGCAAGGTTTTCTACAGTATCCAAGGCAGTGTGATACAAGCAAAAGAACAGCCACAAAATTAAAACACTACATTATTCATTTCAGGCAAGATCCATTGATGAATGCTAAAATTACTGGATGAAATTTTAATGAGAAAATTCTTTGTATACCTCAAAGAATCTCTCTCAAAATTTACTAATTACTTATTTGCTGGTCTTAACACATGAGCACATAGTCTTTGCTACTCTTTTCTCCAGCAAGCAAATTCCTCTCCCTTTTGAGGCTATAAAGTCCTCCATACTTAGTGATTCACTTCTAACAATGAAAAGAAACAAGTAGTAAGTCTATAGCAGGGAAACCTAGAAGACACCACCTACCAAGTACTCCCTGACATAATGCAAAGAGAGGAGCACGTCACTTCTGTCTTATTCCTTCCTAAAATTCATAATCTCAAGCCAATCACGAGTAAATGTTAGACAGACCTAAACTAAGGAATGTTGCATAAAATTTCTGACTGATCTTTACTCTCCAAAGGATCAAGATCATGAAAGACTTAAGACAGAGAAACTATCATAGATTAGAAGCAAGTAAGAGACTTGACAACTTAATACAATATAGTATACTAGTTTTGATCTCAAAATAGAAAAACATTAGTTGAAAAACTGGGAAAATGTGAATAAAATCTGTAGTTATAATATCAACATAAATTTCTTAGCTTTAAGAAGTATCACATTTATATAAGGTAGTAACATTAGAGGAAGCCAGGTGAAGGGTATACAGGACTCTGCTATCTTTGGAACCGTTCTGTAAATTGAAAATTATTCTTTATTTAAAAATTACCTTTTGTTACTACTTATGTAAAACAAATATTCTAAAATACCATATAACTGTAATTAAAAAATAATTAGATATGAAGACTTATAAGATTATCCATAATCTGAATTTCAAGTTTGTCAAAACAAATTCATTACTCTTCAAAATGCATTATTTTCAATGAGTACTATACATACAAATTCATAAAAACACATTTATACCATTAATATACCCATTTTTCCTTATGTAGTCAGTAGCCACACAAGTATCTCAATTGTAAAAAAGATCTAAGAACTAAAGAGGTTTGAACAAAAGGATTATTTGTGCCATCTAGTGGTGATTGAGGTAAATATAACTGCTTACCCACCTTAAAAAAAAAAAATGAGGGTGTCTGTACTTTTGATAAATGAATTAACTGGGAGAAAAATGTTGACGATATGATAACATCCAATATGGAGATTAGAGGTGTTCAGAAATAAGATATTCCAATAAAATCAGTTTGGAAGATGAACTTAAATTAACAAAGGGCAGTAGCTTGCTTGCTGATGAGCAAGCAGGATATCTGAAGTATGTTAAAAGATGACGTCCATGTTTTCATCTCCATACTATATCATATCAAACACATTACCTCCATCAAGTCATTATTTTCATTATGGAGATTTCCCTGTAATGCAAGAATTGCACTACAATTGGAAAACGGAGGAAAATAAAGAGGCACAGAAGAAGAGTATTATTGAATGATGAGAAAACAAAACAAAACTAAATTTCCTTAAGAGGCAAGATTAGCCACCCCACTTTGTGCAGACTACTGAAGAACACGGATGAAAGGCATGCAGGGTTTTAGAAAGTTTAAGAGGAAAAAGAGTCCAAGTACTTCCTTGGCTAGAAGTGTCTGTCCCAGAGTACATCTGCCTTTCTAAACAGGATCCTATACGCGGATCTATAAACCGACACGATACAGCATGCGACACAACAAAGGGATCCCTTTAATAAATTCTAGTATCCTACCAGGCAATTGCAATAGAAGAAATGTTCCTGAATTCTTAATAAAAAAATAATTTTCGTGGTGTCTACTTAAAACAATCGGCATAAGATAAGTAAAAGTGCTTAACTGTTCTGTACATAGTAAGTACTTCGTAAGTACCATTAATAGATAACTGCTAAGAAAGAGAAAACAAAAGAAACAGAATCTAGTATGTGGTATTTTCTAGTTCTAATTTTGGTAATAATACACATTTAACACCTTTTCATTAATGTAAACCAAAAAACTTTGTCATTATTCTCTCATACATGTCATTATTGTCTCATGACAATAAAGACATGTCTTTATTTAAAGAATCGTTATTTAGGGAAAATCCTATTATAATCTTTTGATAAGAAGCAAGAAAAACTGTCTCTTTACACTCATTTTTATTAAACAAATAAGGCTGGTAGTGGAACTTCTTTTTATTTAATGCATAAACATTTAAGTCCCTTTATTAGAGAAATTGTATGTATTAGTGGATATGGTCAATGGTCACATCTATGGGTTAGTTCTTCAAAAATCAGAGCCAATAATTAGGATAGATTCTATGCTCTCTTCATCACATTGTGAAGTGTCTTGTGTAGTCATATTCTATTGTTGGAATGACAGCTTGTACAAATTTCAAGAAAATTAGAAGATACCTACAGGTCTTTAGCTAAGGAAAATAAGATGTATAAAAAGTTCTGTTTTAAGCCCACATTGTAATTATCCATTTCATTAAGCATTTCTCAGAAAAATGTATGGCAAAATCTTACATTAAGTCTTATTAAAGAAAATCATGCAAATTTTTGTCTATTTAACATGAAGTTCTCTATAACTTTAAGACTGCCTAACAACCTAATTCCAGTATTTCAATTTGAAACTTCTTAATGAGTCCATATAGGCACAATGACTTTGATATAAAATAAGGACATGGCTGTCCATGTAAATGAGGATAAAACTGAACAATTCACTTGACTCTTCTTTTATAAAAGTTTGTTAGAATGTTAGAAAAAAGTATAAAGCACTATAGCAAAAGAAAAAGGAATTAAATGGAAACTCGTCATAATGGAATGATTCTAGGTTAGTATTTTTACTTGTCATAGAATCAGCTTTGATGGACTGTGTTTAATTCTGAAATATAAGTCACCCCTAAAGTTGCCATACATAGGAAAAATGGAAAATTAAATGTACCTTTACAAAATTATCCACTACAAAATTTTATAAAGAGGTGGCCAACACATACAGAGTATTCTGTAAATATTTTGTAAAATTTTGTAAAGAAAGGTACATTTAGTTACAATTTCCCATTTTTCCTTTATACAGTGACTTTAGGGGCGACTTTTGGGACATCCAGTATATTCCATTGTACTTGAGAACATTAGCAGCTTAATTTAATTGGGGGAAAATGAATATTCTATTATGAATAATACAGAGTCTTCCAAGTTGCTACCTATCCTCTAACAGAGATGAATGTGCCAATTTTGCAGAATAGTAAGACTTTAGGAGTAAATGTGGCTTGCACCAAAAGTGCTTGATTTGTTTCCTTATCAAAACAGTGCAAAGTTCCTTCAAGGGACACACTTTTTGGTGATACCTACATTGTTTATAATTTCAAGACAGGGAATACCGAGTAACATATACCACCAGGTCCAGTATCAAACTAGGAATAAGCTAATTCAGGATATTTAATATCAAATCACTGATTTTGCTTCTGATGAATCCATGCTGTGAGTACTCATGTTCTGCAAAATCCAAATTTGCCTGGGGATTAACTTCAATTTATTCCTCTTGTCAACCCAAGAGAACTGAGCAGAACCACAGTAAGTTATAAGAAAGGGGTGCTCTTCTCTGGAGAAAAATGAATATACTATACTTTAACAATATCTAAAGCACTTCATATAGCACACTTTTTAAATTGAATTCTTTGTTGCAGGAGACCTCAGATTGATATAATCTAACTTTACTATACTTGATGGGAAGGCAAGTATCTTGTACCATGTAAAATTGGAAATACAGAAATACTTATGTTATTCTAAATTAGGTTACCTCTGTAACCAGGTAGAGCTAACTGGTACAACCAGGACATGTTATCACGCAAATAAGTCATTACTATCACAATATAACATTTTCTAAATAAAGATTCTCACTAGGACTTCAAGATTTGAGGGGCTAAAAGAAGTTTTAGGTACTATATGTGACTAAGGTTACACTAAATTTCTCAAAAAGAAAAGTGAATCCTAAAAGCCATTTTATCACCAGTCACATACAAAGGTAAAGGATACATATGAACTCCAAGTTCTCCTCCTCCTTCTGCAACAGTCTCAATGATTTTCTTCATCACCTCAGCATGCCTAACAGCAAAGAACAGATCTTATTAGTGTTGGTCAATTATGTAGTCGCCACAAGCACAATGGCATTAATTAGTTTTCTGATAACATGGGGAAAGAGTAAAGAAAGAAAACCAGAGCAGGGGAAATTAAGCCAGGGGATAAATGTGAAGCACTGGCTATCTGCAACAAAAACAAAAAGGTTCAGACCAGGCAAATTCAAAGCTACATGCTCAAAAAAACAAAGATATCTATAACCTTGTGATTGTGACTATTTAATTAGGTGAAGAGGGTCCATGAAAAGTTAATAGATCAAAGTTAAGAAGTTTGTGCTTTTCTTTGTCCTAATAGGTATTCTAAAATTTATCTGATTCTATTTAAAATATTTTTTTTTGCTTTATATGAATAAAAGTATTTAAATCTAAAGATTTTTTCCTAGCTATCTTTTCATGGTATCTAACTTGTACTACAGAAAAGAATATCAAAATTAACTATCTGGCATATAATCTAACAAAAAGGTAATGTACAAAAGTAACGATCTTTCATACATACCTTGCCTTAAATAATGCCACTTCAGTTTTTATGAATATATCCTGCATGACAGATGCAGTCAACTTAGAATATGAGAGTAAATGTATTAGCTTGGAGATCTGAAAGCACAATCCAGGGCAGCCCATGAAAAGACCTAAGATATCCTTGAAGTTTCATTGCACTGGCCCCCAGCTTTTTTGGCTACATTTCCATCACATTCTCCAATAGTCATTTTATTAAATGTGTTCAATGTAATTACCAGTTAAATTGTTTCTTTCTGCCTCAAGTGAGTAAAATTTACACCTCAGAAACATACTTCAGTTTGGTAAGCACCACCCCCAAACCTCAAACCAAAAGAGGAACGAACAGAACTCTCACAAATGAAACCTTTTAGATTAGGTAATTCAAAACTAAAACTAACGACTCCTGAATCACCTTTCATAATTAGCAATATTGAAGTCCTTAACATAAATAAAGTGAAAAAATAGTTAAAGCTTTCTATGTGATAAAAGTTTAAGACTAAAGAGGCTGCAGAAAATGCTCTAAAACTAGAGGAAGGAAAAAGCTAAATGTTTCATCAGGTAAACCAATGGAATAACAAAGTTTTCATCAAAAAACAACTCTTACTAGTATGTTACAAGTATTTTGCAATGTACTGTGAAAGTCACTTATTAGAAATAACTAATCCTAAGAAATTAGCATGTAATATCTTTTTCTTTTTTTTAGGAAACATTCTAAATAAATCCTGTGCATTGATTGAGTCAGTTTCACTTATTTGGCCCTGTGAAGAACACACTGACACAAAGAAAATCCCAAATTATAAAATGTACTTGACTTGGTAAGGCTGAAGACTTCCCAACTAAAGAATAAAGGAGAAGAGAGGTCAGGCCTGGTGGCTCATGCCTGTAATCCTAGCACTCTGGGAGGCCAAGATGGGTGGACTGCCAAGTTTAGGAGTTCAAGACCAGCCTGAGCAAGAGTGAGACCCTGTCTCTAAAAACAGGTGGGCATTGTGGTGGGTGCCTATAGTCCCAGCTACTTGGGAGGCTGAGGTTAAAGGATCACTTAAGCCCAAGAGTTGGAGGTTGCTTTGAGCTAGGACACCACAGCACTCTACCCAGGGCAACAAAGTAAGACTCTGTCTCAAAAACAAACCAAAAAAGGAGTAGAGAAGTGAAGTTTCTCACACATCTTCCCTCACTAACCACTAAGAAGAGATAGCTAGGTCACAAAGAATAAGCACAGAAGTTAATGTTATATGTTACGTTCCACAGAAAGACACATCAGCAACAGAGCAAACAATATCTAAATAATGAGTAAAGTCCAAAACAGGATCTTCCAAACTATTCTGGAAGTTAAACAGAGGTAAAAATAACAAATTATATTTTATAACTAAACATACACACACAAAATACATATTCTTAATGAATTAAATTTAAAATAAGCTGGTGAGGTTTTCCCCTTTTTCTTATATATTTAACTCAGCACAAGAACACTTTTAAGAAAGATGAAAAAGAACTTTACTTGCTTATTAAGTACATTTTTTTCTATATTGTACTGTTTATAGATGTGCAACTAAAACTCAAGAAATATATACACATATGCATAAAATATATGTATCTTTACATATACAGACCTGCATGGGTGAACTGAACACATAGGAGGAGGTGGGAGATGAGGATGATTTTCAATGGTCACTGTTTTCTTCACATGATCTTGACTGATGTCTTCATACATGTGCTCAACTGTTAAAGGCTGCCGTTGCTGAGAGCATAAAAAAAATTCTGAAATTACTATTAATATTTAAAAATTTAGCCTCAAACTCAGTTCATAACATACTTATTCCCCCATTCTACTCATTTATAATTTACAATTTCAGACTATGTAGAATTAATCCGGGGAAAATTTACAATTTATTTATAAAAAGGGAAAAAGGGGGAAAGTCAGCATATCCATACTATATGACATAGATCACCACTAATGCAGAAGAGATCAGATCCCACAACGAGGAAGGTTCATGACTGTCAAAACATGTTCCTCACTTTGTAACTCATGGCTTATTTTATACTCTTGTTTCCCACTTACAATCATAAGATGCACAAGTTAAACAAGTTGATCTAATTTTAATTATCCTTTAACTCCAATAAGTTGATGAATTTAAAAGGTTTTCTGTCTTAAAGGGAAAAAATTACTTATGGTCATTTTGTAAATGACCATATATCTAACAGATGTTAAAATCAAATATACTACACATATCCATTTGTACACTACGAATATTTCAACTTCCCTCACGTTTTAAAGGGATAAGCTTGGAGGCCATGAAACAAATGTGTAACATTATTTCTGTTTAACAATAAGTATTATTATCACATTGAATAATTTATACTTTATTAAAAATAAGAACCAAGTATAATGCTAGTCATAAAACTTTTTAAAAAGTGATTAAAGACCATAATATAAACCCACGGACCTAATAAAGAAGGAATGAAGCCCAACAATTTATTTACACTAAAATATACTTCTGTTTATTTTTACCTCATCATAGCCAAACAACCATAGTCGTGGTGTCTGGTAATATTTATCATAAGTGATGTAAAGGTCATAAGTTCTGGTTTGCAAAATAGCATCTTCACCTCCAGCATCAGTTTTAGCTTTACAAGCTTCTACTATTTTCCTTGTGTCTAGGGTAGCCTGGAAAATAATAGAGAAATATTTATAAGCATCCAATCAGTATGAACGTGACATTCTAGAAAATCTATTTTTCCCATCCTACATTTTCTTTATTTCCTCAAAAATAAACTTTAAACTCAACGCTAAAGCTTTATATGATATAACCAATGTAAATAAATAAAAATTTATTTGAAACATCAATACATTATTAAGAACACTAATCCCCACGTTAATTCATTAAAAATTAACTGAAGAAAACTCAGTTTTCTGGAAGTGTGCTGGGGGCCATGAATTACATTTCTGACCATCTTTAATCTGGAGGATTAATTATAAGCAAAGCTCACCCCTGAATTTGAAAAAATTTATGGACAAGTTATTGTTGACCCTCACAATAACCTGAAAAAAAAGTCTTTCCATTAAATCGTTTTAAGGGTCTATTCTTCTTTGACACCTAATAAACTTAGTACTATATTGTCTGCAAAAAGAAAAAAAAAGAAGGTATTGTTGAAATTAAATGGTGGCAGACATGTCCAAGAAATATTGCAGGGATTTGATCCCTCTATGAATCTTGTGATAGAGATGATAACTAGTGGGTGACAGAATAACATACTGGAATGGTGGTAATATGAGGACTAGTAGCATCATATTAAAAGCCTTGGAACAAGAAAAAAAAAAGGTATCGTTGAAATTAAATGGTGGCAGACATGTCCAAGGAATACTGTAGGCATCTGATCCCTTCAGAACCATGTGTGGAGATGGTAACTAGTGGGCAACAGAATAATATACTGGAATGGTGGTAATATGAGGACTAGTAGCATCATATTAAAAGCCTTGGAACAAGAAAAAAAAAAGGTATCGTTGAAATTAAATGGTGGCAGACATGTCCAAGGAATACTGTAGGCATCTGATCCCTTCAGAACCATGTGTGGAGATGGTAACTAGTGGGCAACAGAATAATATACTGGAATGGTGGTAATGTGAGGACTATTAGCATCATATTAAAAGCCTTGGAACAAGAAATCCATGTCCTCTCCCCAAAAAGTCTGATTTACTATGACTTCAAAATTGGATTGTGTACACTTCCATATTCAACTTTATGTTAAATAAACTTTTCTAACAGTCAAAAAAAAAACTCAATTTACAAACCTCATCTGTTTCCAACAATCCACTCTCTTCATATTCTGTTATAAAAAGCAACAATAAATTAGTAAAGTTCTAGAAAATTCCATAAACCAAACTATATATTATTTCAGAGTATTATTCAAATACTGGGGTTTCGCTTTTGTTTTTAAATGAAGATACTAAATACATATATACACACACATAAGTATATATATGTATACACACATATACACAGATGTATGTGGATACATACATATACTTTAAAACAACAAATACTTCACATAACAAAATCCCAGAAAAAGTCACTATGTTTAAGGTTCGGTGTATGTTAGTCTATTATTATCAATTGATATAATAGTACTATACTGTCTTCAGTGACTCCACAGCGTAGACAAGGTTATTTATCTAACTGCGTAAGTATGCTCATTAAAGTTATCAGTGACTTCTACTTTGCTGCATCCAGTGGTAAATTCCCAATTCTCATCTCTTTTTTTGCAACAAATATTGAGCAATAATAATAATGCAAAAAAAGTAACATTCACATTGTCAGATAAAAGTATGTCTATCATATAGAATGCTTTGACTCTGAGGTTCAGTATAAATCAGTTAACTTATTATTTTTTTCAGAGTCTCAAAAAATAGACAACTAATATTTATAAATAAAAATAAAAGACAATTTCGAAAAACAGATCATGCCAAATCTTATGGACAACAGAAAAAGAAGAAATACTTCAAAATCATTCTACTTCATCTGGATACACCTAATATTAAAATTGGAAAAAAATGTATTATTATTAATAAGGGAAATCACAAACAATTTTCATCTAAATTGACCTTTAGTCACATGTGGCATGATTTATTCCCTGCTCATTTTAACACTATTTCCTTGACTTTTAAGATATTTTATATTCCTGGCCTTCCTCCCACAACTGGCTGCTCCTTCAATATGGTTTGTGTTGTTTCTCATCATTGACTACTTAAAATACCATAGGAACCAAGGGCTCAGTTTTTGGTCCTTGTCTTCTCTCTATTCACACTTAACTCCTGTAATGATTCCACCTAGTCTTAGTGGCTTTAACTGTCTATGACTTTTAGATTTTATTCCCTAACTGCAGACTTGGGTATCTTAATTTTTGAGTTTACATCTCCACTAGACAACCAACAGACACTGCAAATATCACATGTCTAAAACTGAGCTCCTGACTCCTCTCTCCAAAGCTAATCACTCTTTTAATTTTCCCCATCTCATTTTATGGTATTCTTGCAGATCAAAAACCTTGGAGTCACACTTGACTACTCTGTCGTTCATATCCCACATCTAGTCCAGTAAAAAATCCCTTTGGCCCTACCCTCAAATGTGTTCAGAATCCTACTGTTGCTCTTCATTACCAATGTTATGACCCTAGCCCAACCCACCATCATTTCTTGCCTAGATTATCAAAATAGGCTCTTAACTGTTGTTCTTTTCCCCTTCAGTCTATTCTCAACATTGCGATCACAGCGATCACAGCGATCTCAACATTGCAATTGTGTGTCAGTCCTCTATTTTAAAAACCCTGCAGTGGTTTGTCTTAATCTTAGTTGAAGTCAGGACCCTACACTATCTGGTTCTTCGTCACCTCTCTGAATTCAGCCTTAATTACTCTCTCCTCCTTCATCTCTGGACATAGGTTCCTCCTCACAGTATTTTATATAAACTACATGTGATACCAAATCAAGGCATTTGAACTCTTCTCCTAAATATCTAAATACCTTATTCAATCATTTCCTTCTAGGATTTATTCAAATTGTATATTTTCAATGAGGTTTTTCTTGACTTAAGAATTGCAACACTTATTCTCACCCGATGATTTCCTAACCCTTTCCCTCCTTTACTATCCTCCCTACCACTTATAACCATCTAATATAGTATATATTTTGTTTATGTACTTTTTGTCACCCCAATCAGAATATAAATTCTGTAAGACTTTGTCTACTGCTTTATTTCTTGCATCAAGAACAGTACCTGATATGTACTATATTGCTCAATAAATATTGCTGCGTAAATGAAAATTACCTTTTATATTAGATACCATCAGCACTGGTTTATGAACAAAATTCCACATATAGCAATTGCTCTTAAACTCTATCCAAAGAAAATGTAACAAACACACTAAAAGACTTTATATATAAGGTAGGCCTATAGCTTGACTCTAAAAACAGTGCTTTTCTCATATGATTTTATGCCATCTTCCCAGCTTGGTCAACTGTATGCTATTCAGAGACAGATAGAATCCAGAAACAGTATTTGTGCAAAAAGGTGGTAAGTTTAGTTTCTAACAACTGTGAGACATCAAGGTGGAAATGAAGCTGAACAAATCTGAAGTTAAGGAGATCTGAGTTGGAGATTTAGATATGGAAGATGATATATGAGCAATTTTGGTTACAGGTAACTCTCATATTTCCTCAAGGAAAAGGTGTTTATCATCAAACTAAGAATAAGAATCTCACTAAATTTATTTTTATCTCAGTTGAAGTCAGGACCCTAGCACAGCTAGGTTTCAGGGAGACTCAGAAATAATTTTTGAAACATAATTGAAGAGTACTTTTACGCCAGCAAACATCATTTACTATTATAGTGCTTCAATTTTATGTGGCACAATCTAATACCTGTAAGCTATACAACATGTCTACCCCACCCTAAACTCTATGTAGTTTTTAGGCTTCAGTCACCTTACAACCTCCAGTGTCTGCCCTCTGTCTTTTTCATATTCTTTTCCTTTTTCCAATTTCTACAACACACACACACCCTCTCTATTCATATATATACTCATATTCACATTTAAACTATCATAGAGAATCTGATGCAACTCATACACCATCTTTTTACACTGCACAAACTTTCATGTCAGTATGCCATTACAAAAACTCTTAAGACAAAATTTGGGAATGTAAAGAATGAGCAAGGAAAAAAATATTGGATCTCCATGAAACACAGCAAAAGACAGAAGAATTTAGATGAGTCAAAAGACGATGATGACGACAACCATTATGATGACAGCAGTGTTACAGAATCCAAGGAAGGAATAAAAGAGGGTATGTTTAACGGTATCAAATAATGCAGAAAAGGCAGAATAAAGACAGACTGGATTTAACAAAGAGGGCACCCTAGTCATAGCAAATTCTTTTCTTTCCTTTTTCTTTTTTTGTTGTTTGGCAGGCTCTGGCTGGGTTTGAACCCACCATCCTGGTGCACTGGCCAGTGCTCTAACCATTGAGTGAGGGGTGCCTAGCCAGTAATAGCAATTTTCTCATCTATTTTTAAATATATAAGATTTCACGTGCATTAAAGATTATCAAACTAATGAAATACAAAGCTTTTAATAGTTATATATCACAGACCTGTATTACTTGATTCTGTTAGTATAGTGAGTTTCTATAGCTTGTTTAACAATGATTCCCTAATATGTGTACAGAGACTCTCAATTGGCAAGCCTAGGAAGGTTCAGAATCTTCTAGAACTGTGAGGGGATTCTATGTAGTTCAAAGGGCCTCATTAAAAATCACTATCTTTAGGTTTTAATGCAAAGATACAATCAAAAAGGAGAAAGAAAAATATAAAATCCACAAGTAAACTTTGTTCTGCTCTGAAATAATTAAGAGTATTTTATAGCCGTACCCTGCATTAAAGATTCATAGCTAATATTTATCCTAGTAGAAATAAAGTTATCTAAGATAATGTTCTAGGTAAAAAATGAGACCAAGATCAAGATAAATTTTGTACTCATGATATTTAAACCAAACAAAATCCTCTCTAGGCTGTTAAGTGCTAAAATTTAAAACTCAATGGAAGATAATTCTTAATCCACATGGATTACGAATATTCCACAATCAATATTCTAGCAGAATTAAAGCAAGTCTAGAACACAAATACCTTCCATATCTGCAGCTTCTCCTTCATCATCCTCTTCTTCCTCTTCACACAGTGCTGAACAATCTTGCAGCTTTACACTATCCTTTGAAATCAATTATATTTAAAAATCACTTAAACATGTTTGTTAGTTCAAACATGGAACACTCATGTACTAGCACATTTAACTACTGAAAATAAGAGCATTAAGGTAGTTATTATCCTTAAGAAACTCAAACTTGGCTCGGCACCTGTGGCTCAAGTGGCTAAGGCGCCAGCCACATACACCTAAGGTGGCGGGTTCGAATCCAGCCCGGGCCCACCAAACAACGATGACTGCAACCAAAAAAATAGCCGGGAGTTGTGGCGGGCGCCTGTGGTCCCAGCTACTTGGGAGGCTGAGGCAGAAGACTCACTTGAACCCAGGAGTTGGAGGTTGCTGTGAGCTGTGATGCCATAGCACTCTACCCAGGGGACAGCTTGAGGCTCTGTCTCCAAAAAAAAAAGAAACTCAAACTCCAGTGGAGATGACAAACCTATATATCAATTATTAAAAGTAATGTGCTAAGTGCTATGATTGAAAACCATCAAAGATATTATGAAAGCACTAAAAGTCATCTAAGCTAACCATTTAAAAATAATTGCCAGTTGTTGGGTGGCACCTGTGGCTCAAGGAGTAGGGTGTTAGCCCCATATACAGGAGGTGGCGGGCTCAAGCCCGGCCCGGCCAAAACTACAAAAAAAAAAAAAAGTGCCAGATGCACTCCCAATAAAAATTTTATTTAATCATTAGTATTAGAAAATCAACCCAAAGTTATGTTAACTTGTATGACACTTATAATTTAAAGGAGAAAAAGTATATCTATATATATGTAAATCACAATACATTTATAAGCTAAAAATAAATTACCAATAAGACACCGTATTTTTAATTTGTTAACAATATCCTGGCTGAATTAAGTTAGCCAGTTATCAGACTTTACAGTTATTACAACACATAAGATTTCAGTTCAATTTCTTAAATATATTAGCACTACAAGGAAAGAATAATGCTAACCAATGACAAGCCTAAAATACAATTTATCATTTTCACAAAGTTAATATTCTGAAAATCTGTGATCAACATACTAAATGAATCAACTGGACATCTGGTTTCATCCAGGTTATATTTTACGTAGAGGTGGCTTTATTTACCATTAGAAAGTTAAATCATGTGTATCATTATTATGTTCAAAATGTGAAGCCACAGATGAAAGATTGCCAGTGTCTGGATAATTATCAGATGAGCTAATATCTAAACTAATTATTAAAGGAAATTTTAATCATGCTGGCCAAATTCACACGCAATATAGACTACAACAGAAACCGACAACCAAGATTATTAACACTTGCATCTAGATGGTAAGATACTAAGCACTGGGTTATAAAAGTAACACAAATCCTATATTAAATAGGAAATAAGAAAGATATATTCTAGTTATAAATTATTCTAAGTATTTATCCTTTAGCAGGATATGAGGATGTTAAGTGAATAACAAGTATAATAAACATTATTATATTTATTAAAAATTCTTGGAAGAATTATCATAAATTCACCATTCCAAAATAATGCTATTCATACCATTTTGCCATCTATCATTCCCAAAGTCTGAAGCATACACACTAATGGCCAGAGTAAACAAGATCTTTTGAAGCAGCAAGACCACTGTGACATTTCTCCTTAATTACCCAACTCTCTAAAAAGTTGAATTTCAAAAGGATGAAATCTCAGGCCAATAAACTTACTCCATAGCAAGCAAAAATTGTGTCCTGAAAAAAATAAAACTTGTATATAACACTTTTTGTTAAATCCCAGTTACAAATTCCAAAAGCTCCAAATGATAAAATCACACATAAAAGTATCTAATGTTAGTAACTATTGTAGTGAATGTTTCCTAAGAACAGAAAGAACACAATTGTTCCATCCAAGTCGCCTATCCTCTAAGTAACTTCGCTTTCTAAAAAAAAAATTATAGGAAAGGTGAAGACATGTTGTATTTTTTTAAATATTTTCAAACTACAGATATATAAAAAACCATGGAGACAATGTACTCAATCTAAGAAATAAAAAGTTAATAGCTACAGTCTAAAATAACTCAAAACTTACAAGCTGAAAAATTCTACCCAATCATATACTTTACCCTCTCCCCAAGTAAATCATATAATAAACTTACCTGATTTAGCTTTCATTCATCTAAAATGTCATGAATTTAAATAAGCTAAAGTTATAAATTTTCAAAATAAAAAACTCCAAATTACCAGTAATTTAGAAGAATATATATAGCAAATTGCTTACAATATTTAAACTACAAAATTTAAATTAGCATCTTTTCATCCACAAGTAGATACCCTCCACACAAAAATAATTTACTTACACAACGATTTGCTACCAAATATACTTAAAAAGAAAAAGGTATCTCTGTTGAACTAGAAAGAAGTCTTTTCAATTACTGAAAATTAGTAATCTGTACAAGTTACAATCTCAAAAATGTTTTTCTTAAACAATTATAAGGAAAATAAGACAAGCATTAGGAAATAGTGGTGTTTTGGTATGTTGATATAGAAAAATGGAAGAGAAAGGAATAGCTGAAATTTCTGAGGTTGATAATAAATAACCAGAGTTTGCATAAGAGGTGAGTGATCTTAAAATAGTAGTATATATTTACGTATAAGCATATAACTAGGTCATTAAATTTAGAAATATAACTAATTTAACCAGTACCTTGCTTTCCACTGTAATCTCCTTAACTGCTTCAGTTATTCCTGCAATACCTGTTTAAGATTCAGCAGAAAATAATAAAAATTATTATTACAATATTTGTAATAAATATTAGCAGCATTTTCAGATATGAACTCTAGTAGGAATAAATAATCCCAAAGGCACTTCCTTCAAATTAAAAAAGGATTAATAGGATAATTTACCATTAACTATCCTATTCTATCATTCTTCCTTGAGTCTCTATAAAGTATTTTTTAAATAAACAGCTTAAGAGACTACAGGACTGTTATTCTGTTAAACAGGCATTGAAATTTTCTCAAAAAGGAACTGGTCATCTTGACAGAGATTGAGTGTGCCCTATCTGAAACATTTGGGGCCAGAAGTATTTCAGATTTCAGATTTTTTGGGGTTTTGGAATATCTGCATAGTTACTATTACTAGTCAAGCATCCCTAATCTGAAAATCCAAAATTCCCCAAAAGCATTTTCTTTGAGTATCATATGAGCACTCAAAAAGTTTTAGATTTTGAAGCCATTTCAGGTTTTGGATTTTTGGATTAGGGACACTTCACCTGTATGTAAGCTATTTGCTTTAGATATCTAGAACATCCAAAGACACAAACATATCACACTTAAATGGGCTTTCTACTGTTTCCATGTTTTATTTAATCCTTACAAACACTATACTGTGAGGCAGTCAGAGTAACTATGTGCCAAATGAAGTCTCCAGAGAGGTAAAATAATTAGCTTGTGTCTCACATCCAGTTAAATGAGAAAACTGGGATATGGAAATCCACAGCAACTTACCTGCCATTCAGTTCTCTCCACCATGCCTCACTCAGCAATTATCTCAGAATCTACTTATCTCAGTGAAAATATTAAGCAAGTGGCAGTACCAGCAGTCAGTAAGACAATATATTTAATTCGAAAAACCTGTCAGTGTTCTCAAATAATTTGTTTGGCAGGGACAGGAAATAAAGACAAAAATCGCTAAAGTTACTACAGAAAAAAAACTAAATACAAAACATGCTTAGCTTGTTAATCTTCTAAAATTTTGGTGCAGCTATTCAACATCTAAATGAAAGAATTTTGCAAATGAAAGATGTCAGAACCCAGAGACATAGCATAAAGCTTTTACTTCATAACAGTTTTTCCAGACATTGCTATATAATAGGTATGATTATTTTATAACATTAAAACCCAAATTGTAACATATCAACAAAATGATTCACTAAATCCTGTACATAAAAACAAAATACATTTCTTCAATTTGTCAAAACAATTACACATAGTAGAATAATGTAGTAGTATCCAAATAAACCAGAGTATTCAAAAAGACAGATACAGTTGGCAAAGAAAAAGAAAGCTCAAATGATTCTAATGAAGGTAAAGGTCGTCATGGTTAACTTTATGTCAACTTGGATAGACTGTAGTGCCCAGATGTTTGGTCTAAATGCTGCTATAAAGGTATATTTTAGATGTGATGAACATTTAAATTAGCAAACTAGGTAAAGCAGATAACCCTCCATAATGGAGGGGAATCTCATCCAATCAGTTTGCGACTTTAAAAGAAAAAGACTAAGGTACTCCACAAGAAGGAAATTCAGCCTCTAGACTAGCTTAGGACTCAAGCTGCAATGTCAACATTTTGCAGAATTTCCAATCTGCAGGTGTGCCCTGTAGAATTCAGACTTGCCACCCCTGTAATCATGTGAGCCAATTCCTTAAAATAAATCTATCTGTATCTATACCTACGCAGTTATCCCCACTTATGCCTGAAACCACAGATTGTATTAAATCCTATATACACTATGAGTAACAGTCAATCTGACAGCTAGGTGACTAATGGGTTGGTAGTATACAGAATATGAATAGACAAAGGGATGACCCACATCTTGGGCAGGATGGGATGGGACTACAGAAGCATTTCAGATTGTGGATTTTTGAATTAGGAATACTCCACTTGTAAACTATTTGTTCAAAACACTGTGCAATTTAAAACTGATGTATTATTATTATTTCTGGAATTTTCCATTTAATATTTTTGGACAGTGGTTGGCCACATTTAACCGAAAGTGCGGAAAGCAGAACTGAAGATAAAAGGGATACTCTGCTCTCTGGAGAGACACAATAAATAGAAGGGCTAACGGAAAAAAAAGAAACCCAGTTAAAGCACAGCTGAAGCAAGAGGAACTGAGTTGAATAAGTAACCAGTACTTGGCCTTATGAGTAAGTTGGAAGCATTGCAGTCATCAAATTAGGACATAATTTGCTATGGTTTTAATGTCTCCTCCCAAATTCATGTTAATAACTGCCATTGTGACGGTATTAAGAGGATCTTTAAGAGGTGAGTAGGTCATGAGGGGTATGCCCTCTTGAATGGATTAACATCATTATTTTGGCAACAGGATATTCTTGGGAGTAGTTTCCTGACACAATGATGAAGTTCACCCCCATCCCCTTTGTCTCTCACACATCTTTGCTCATTATGGTGGGGTTTCTGCCATGTCATAATGCAGCAAGAAAGCCCTCACCAGATGTGACCCTTTGATGTTAGACTTCTTAGTTTCCAGAACTGTGAGTCAAATAAACCTCTTTTCTTTATAAATTACCCAGCCTGTGGTATTGTTTTGGCAGCAGAAAACAATGACAAATTTTAAAGATAAAATTCTATGAGTATCTCTCATAAACATCAGTTACAATTTATTACACTAAACAAACTGTAGTTTTTTGCATATATGAAAATGTTACCAGGGAAAACTTTTTAGTTGTTAGTTGAATTTCATTTTTTTAGGTGTCTAATCATATTGACACCTACTTATCTATGTGAAAAATGACTTTGCAATATGTACATGAATTTTGGAACAGCGATTAAGACAGACTACAACTAGACAACTCATTAACTTGTCATCAGAAACAGTGCTATTATCAATGGTGCTAGACCATCAGTACAGAATTTACTACTGATGTGCTGCCAACATTTTCCTGCTATAGGAAAACTAAAGCAGAATAGTTTAAAAGTTTTAGAAAGATCAGGGGAAAAAAAGAAGTCTAACAGCACTACTTGGTAGATTAAAAAAAGAGTAATTTTTGAAATCATTTTAAAAAGCTGTTCAACCTGTTATTTTCTCTAGCCCTTGATATACCAATATTTAGCTCATTAAGCAGCAAATAAATTTCAGATCAAGAAGCCCAAGTCCTTAATCTGTGCCTATTAACTCCACAAGCAAATGAATGCAACATCCCTTACTCAGAGTAGAGGAGAAACAGACTGAAGGAGTACTTTAATCTGTACAGATTGTTCAGCCCTCTGTCCAATACAGATGATTCTCAATGGGGGTGGGAGGGACAGCAATTATTCCCCTCAAAGAACATTTAGTAATGTCTATAGACATTTTTGGTTGTCACAACTAGGGAATGCTGCAGGCATATAGTAGGCAGAAGCTATAGACACTGCTAAACATTTTACAATGCACAAGAAATATAGAATTATCTGGCCCAAAATGTCAACAGCACCAAGGTTGAGGAACTCTGCTCTGTTACTACTGCTGAAGATAAATGCGTGTACCTCCTAGGACTCAGAGGGAGGAAATCTGTTCTTAGTATTATGAATTTAAATTTAGAAAACATTTTCTTCATCAAAACTAAATCATAAATGGTAGGTACAGTAGCACATAATACTAGTTAAATAAATATAATGGCAACAAAAGGTTTTAGGACTTAGAATGAAAAAGCTTATTTGGGGTTCCAAACATATGCTTATGAAAGCCCTAAATTTGTTTAACAAATATTTAATGAACAACTTCCATATCATACACTATGATAGACACTGAGGATTCAACAATGAATCTCCACCATCACAGAGGTCATACCGTGTTTCCTCGAAAATAAGACACTGTCTTATATTCATTTTTTCTCAAGAAGACACACTAGGGCTGATTTTCAGGGGATGTCTTATTTTTATTAAGTATAATACAACAATCTACATTTATTCAAATACAGTTAAGTCATCTTCTTCTGGAACTTGACAGGGGAACCAACTTTGTTGGCGGGGCTGGCACTAGTGATGCGTGAACTCCTTTCCCCTAGCTGCTCACATGTGTGCAATAGGATGCCTGTGACTGCGCACTCACACCTGCCCAAGTGCAAATGGCTCAGAGAAAGGAGCTGTGGCAGATAAAAGGTATTCCAGTCTTCCTTACTGCTCCTCCCCGAAATGCATGGTGTGGCTATGCAGCATATCTTATTATCAGGATAGGGCTTATATTTAACAAATGCATAGAAATCCTGCTAGGGCTTATTTTTGGGATAGGTCTTATTTTCGGCGAAACACGGTAGGTACTTAGAATTTCTTTTAGTAGTCATTCAAAAAATAATTAAATACTTTTACATGTCAGTTCTCTGGTTAAAATAAATGCAAGTACAGTATAGTTCCTGTCATAGAGGTCATAGCCAGCAATAAAATGACATGTAAGCAAGAAATTCTAAAGCAAGGCAGTAGGCATGCTCAGTATTTCTGACTGGCTTTTTCTTGTATTCAGAAATATAAAAGGGCCAGGAGCAGTGGGTAAAAACCACACCTGTAATCCTAGCACTCTGGGAGGAGGAGGCAGGTGGATTGAGCTCAGGAATTCAAGACCAGCTTGAGCAAGAGTGAGACTCTGTCTCTACTAAAAACAGAAACACTAGTCAGGAGTGGTGGCATAAGCCTGTAGTCTCAGCTACAGGGGACTGACAAAAGAGGATTACTCAAGCCCCAGAGTTTGAGGTTGCTGTGAGCTATGATGCCACAGGACTCTTCCCAGGGTGACAAAATAAGATTCTGTCTTTAAAAAAACAAAAAAAGACAGAAAGAAATGTAAGAGAAAATAATAGGGGTATTTTCAAATTGCAAATGAAGTAGCAGGTACTATAAAAATTTGGCACACTCCAAAGGCATTTTTTTGAGTTTCTAATCTGTCCCTTTTCCTTTTTCATGTCAAAGTATACTGGAACAAAACTGTGCCTTCCATATCCTCTTTTTAACTCAAAGCTGTTACAAAAGGTTGTGAAAGAGTTTAAAACAACTTAACCTAAATACATGCCACTCTATATTCCTCTTACCTGTGTTGTGATATGTATCTACCCAGCCTCCATCACCATCATCTTCTTCAATGATAGCTTCCAATTCATCTGAATATTCCATCTGTTTGCACCGCTTATAACATGGCACTATTAAAAAAAAAAGAAATCCACCGCACCATGGCAAATACAGTTACTAAGACATAATCTGTTAACCATAAATCCATTAGAAAGAGATAGTTTATTCCATAAAATATAATATTTACACTAACAAAATATTAAGTGAATATATTCACTTTTAATGAAAGTCGTTGAAAGTTATATTAGGCCACACACAATTATTTGACCGCATTTATCTTTCCCTATATTGCTTTATTGTAAGACAAATAAAAGGCTGTTCGGAGTGTTCTACATATTTCTTTATCATGACAGTCTGTGAAAAACAGCAGGCTGAAGACAGAGATGTCATTGTTCAATTTCAGGCTAATGAATACAACCTTGTTTGAATGTCTTATTCTCATAACATGGTACTGGCTCTCATACTCTGAGGCGGTAGAGGTAATCTGGTTTTCAAAGCTAAAATAATGCTCAATACAAATTTCAAGATTCATATTTAAGTTCTAGTTATTCCCAATAAATAGTTTAAAATTCACCAAATTGCTCAATTTCACTTTCTTATTCAACACTAGTGCAAAGTTCTTCATACAACAAATGTGTCAACTAACGGACACTATGATGCATAAACCTAAATGTGAACATAAAGTAAAAACAAGGCGTGGGTCAACAAATTATAATTACTCTATTTTTTTTTAATAAGCAGGATATAAATTACTATTATGGTATGGGCAAGAAAAAAAATCATTGTTTTGTATATATTATTTTCCCTTTTCCTATGATTAGTAAATTAGAGTAGAAATCAATGTACTATTTGATTATTTAGGGACTGTAACACCTTTTTGATAAATTACCTTCGTAGAACACCACATGTTTCAAACATTTTTTTGTGCCTACAGGCAATCCTTCAATGGCATAAGGGATAATAAAATCTTTACCTTTGAGTTTTTAGATGTCACAGGCGGTACCAATTTCATTTTCCATGAAAAATTTAAGTCTAAAGAAGATAATATCATACACCTAAAAAGATTATGAAGTCAACTTAAAAAAATCCAATAGGAATAAGTCTAACTTCCCTTATGTTTCGTAGATCTTTTTGGTGATAAGAAATAACAAAAAGAGAAGAAGAGATAAAATCAACTAAGGAAAAAAAAATTCCAGCAATTAAAAACCCTACAGCTTCATTAAATTTCTGAATTTCTATGTGAGAGACACTATAAGAATAGCTTTAAGCAAAAATTTGGATCAATAAGAACTAAAGGTTTTTCATGTGGTTGATTTTAATATAACTATACAAAATTTACTAATGTACATGACATAATTCTTACCATTTTTGGTTACCAAAAATTGTTTGGCTGTTGGTAGGTATGCCTTCACTTTTACCTCCTCCCCTGTTGCCCTTTAAAAACAGTGAAAAGCACAAAAATACAAAATATATTTTAAAAGGCAAATACAGAAATATTACATATAAATCTCAAAACTACAGAATCTAAACCCCTGAGAAAACTTCTTAAAAACTGATATGGGAAGGAAGCTCTATGTTAGGGCATGTAAAAGCACAATAATAATATAAGTGAAATATACTAAGTAATACAGATAGAGCTAACAGAATTTGGATTAAATATTAGACAAAAAAGTAGAATAATAGACAACAATTTAGCAACTATCATGTTTGCCTTTAAACCAAAAGAAAATGCTGCTCCTTAGTATGCTACAGCCTATTACATAATCTCTCAGATTTTTATTCCTAAAGTATTGTTCATCTTGAGAACAAGAAAAGGCAGAGAAAAAGCTGCATGACATTATATAACAATGTAGGTGGCTGGCAAAATCTCTGTTCCTGCCACTGAATTAAAATTGGAACTAAGAAACACAAGATGTTTTGAATAAGATGATGATGTTAAGAATAATAATGCTTGAAAACAAGAAATCCCTTATTACTAAGTGCTTAAGTATAGGACTTAGAACTATAACATGTACTATTTTCAATGAATAACTCTAAATGATAGGTAATATTGCCCAGGCGCAGTCTCATGCCTGTAATCCTAGCACTCTGGATCACCTGAGGTCAGGAGTTTGAGACCAGCCTGAGCAAGAGTGGGATCCTATTTCTACTAAAAATAGAAAAATTAGCCAGGTACTATGGCAGTCTTCTAGGTTTTTTGACTAGTGCTAACTGTCAGATTCAACAATGTCACTGCAATGCTTGAAGTTCTAAAAGGAGTTAGAATAAGGTCATGATAGTACTTCTGGACATGAAGCATGGAAATAATCTGCTTGTAACTCTTGATTTAAAATGAATTATTCCTTTGGCTCAGTAATTCAGCCGTAAGTGTAGACAATGAGGTGAGGTGTAATTGAGTTCTAAGTTAGAATAAAATTATTGCAACCATAAATTCATAAAACATAAATGGAAACTAGTGGTACTAGCTAAAAGAAGATTCTACATAGCATTCTGAGAGGCTGAGATAGGTAGTTGCCCGAGTATACAAGTTTGAGACCAGCCTGAGCCAGATTGAGATCTCCTCTCTAAAAACAGCCCAGCGTTGTGGCGAGCACCTATAGTCCCACTTACTGGGGAGGCTGAGGCAAGAGAACCGCTTGAGCCCAAGAGTTAGAGGTTGCTGTGAGCTATGATGCCACATACTCTACCAAGGGCAACAAAGTGAGACTGTATCAAAAAAAAGAACTTCAGAAAATTCTGTCCATAATATAAACCCCTATAGCAATGCTATAAATCAACACCTAAACTATTTAGACAATTAATGGCTATGACAAGAAGAGATTATACACTGTCTTCATTGAGATATCTTTGTCAAATTTATTGTCTCAATAAAGACAATGCATATGTATCATATTAAAAAATCCTAAACCAGTTCTTTTCATAAAATATCAGGTTAAATTTTATATACCTATTTAACCTGAAATACATAATTCAGATCAAAACTTAGCTAAATATAATTTAAACAGAAAATTTAGGATAGAGACAAAAAAAGAATCTTACTAAGTCAAAGAGCTTCTACGATGAGCTCCATTTTAAATATGGAACAAAAATACATGCGGGAAAGAAAAAGACATAAAAATAAACGATTCTGATATTTTGATCTTTTTTAGTACCTAAGAAATAATGCCCTAGTATAGGAGATTAAAAAGCAGTGACGACTGTATCAAGTACAAGTTAAATATAAAAATGAAGGGGTCTAAAATAGGCCACAGATGAAACAGAATTCCAACTCTGGCTTTAAAAAGCTTAATTATTTACACTCTTTAGATATTAACAAAAACATTATGACAATTAGAATGTTGTTAATTACAGAACCCTTACCCTCAATCAACACTCTACCTTTCAGCTATGACTGAAAAATGTTAATGAATAAAAATAATAAATTGAAACATCCACATACAAACAAAATGGTAATTCCAAACAATTCCAGTTCAAATAAAACAGTTTGCCACTACTGGGATCACTTTTCCAGTTACTGTCAGAAACTTTTTACCATTGGTACTTGAAAGTAATGATACTGTATTTATTTTAAAACTTTCTATTAGTATTTGAGATTTTTTTTTTTTTTGAGATAGAGCCTCAAGCTATACCCCTGGGCAGAGTGCCATGGCATCACAGCTCACAGCAACCTCCAACTCCTGGGCTCAAGCGAGTCTCCTGCCTCAGCCTCCCAAGTAGCTGAGACCACAGGTGCCCGCCACAGCGCCGCCCATTTTTTGGTTGCAGCCATCATTGTTTTTTGGCAGGCCGGGCTGGGGATTCGAACCCGCCACCTTAGGTGTATGTGGCTGGCGCCTTAGCTGATTGAGCCACAGGTGCCAAGCCATTATTTGGGATATTTTATAATATATGTTGTGAGAACTGCTAAATTGTTTAAAGTACTTCATAACCAAGAGAAAAGTTACTGAGGAAAATTAAAATTTAAAGTCTCTTAAGAAGCAGACTTATGGTTAAGACCATGATCAGTGCCATGAACCTTTACTTCCTAAAAGGGGAGCATACTTCTGAATCGTAACAGAAAGTGTTCATGTCTTTTGTTTTAAAGAACATAAAACTGCAAAATCTCTACATTTATTGTCATAAAAAATGTTCAATAAACATTTACTAATAAAAAAGCTGATCAAATTTATTAAACTCTTGAATTTTTAAAGAATTATGAGATCAGACCTAGATTCAATAAAGAAAGGAAGTAAATGCATTTATCTGAAATTCGTTCATCTTTTGTGCTAAAAGAGCAAATAGTCCTAACACTCACTTGTTCTTCATTTTACTTTGGCCATTATGAGCAGTTTTAACATAAAATCTACTAAGATAACAAACTGCTCACTCTAATTTTCATGCATTGACCTACTTTGCCCTAATTCTGAATCCACACCTTTTACTAAGTTTTTCTTGGCTCCATACTACTTACCATTGCCATGTTGGACAGTGATGGACTAAGTGGTCTCCAGCTGCCACAAACTATTCAGGATTTGGAAGAAAAGTGAAAAAAAGAAAGAAAAATTGAACATCACTGAATGTCAGGTCGCAAAATACAAAATTGATTGTTCTGAATAACTTTAATACCTAATAATCAATTAAAATGCAAAAAGCACCAAACCTGTTTCACCAGCCTTAAAATTTATTTTCATCATTATTAATCTCCAAAAATATTTCACATCCATAAAAACTTAAATCAATCTTTTTTTTTTTTTTTTTTTTTTTTGAGACGGAGCCTCAAGCTATCCCCCTGGGTAGAGTGCCATGGCATCATGCTCACAGCAACCTGCAACTCCT